ATTATGTTGAGTCTGGCTGTGGCTGAGAGTAGAGGCAGGAGAATGTAGTGGTCAGGTGTGGGTCACATGCTGGCAGAAAGCCAGCCACTCTCTCTAAATATTAATGGATTAACGCTCACCACACATACAGCTGGACTGGGAAACTCAAGATGACTTTTAACATGAAAGGCCGCCAATAAGTCGCCATCATAAATTCAGGGACACATGCTGTCTGAAACAGTGTAGCAGTCAAGCGTGTTTCCTCCAGGAGGCCAGGGCTGAGGGAGCGTGTGATGGAGAATAGGGGAGCAGGTGGACCCTGCACCGGCTGACCTTCCCTCTCAGGCTTTACAAGATATGATCAGAATATGCTGGCAGCCGTGGCCTTTCTTAAAACCACCCAGGGCATCATGTAGAGAAGGTACAGTGATGCAGCTTTCCACTTTTTTAACATTTTGTAGCAGTGTTTTAAACTCAGACCCTGCTGATTTTGCATTTTTCACCAAAAGACAAGCCCATTCTGTTATGTAATTCTTCTCTTAATTGCTTTAAGCGAGTAACTTAGGCTTGTCTAATGTGAATTTCCTCATGGCAAAAAGAGCTGCGGTTGTAGTGCTCAGACACTGTGTAGTGACATCCCCAATCACTATGTCTAATTTAGCAGCAGGGGACAATGAGCTAATCTTGCAGGAGAGCATATAACTCGCAATTTAAAATCAATCTAGGTGCATTTGGTTTTTTAGGACCTCCACTTAAGCTGCGCAGTAAATAAGAGTTAGGTTCAATGTACAACATTGTTTTCTGCCTGTGTGGGGGGTCATTTGAAACCTACGGATGGATTCACAGCGCATTTCACTGCAAGGTTTCACACACATTTTGACGCTAATACACTCCATTTTTCCTAATCATTTTGCTGCTGCACTCCATGTAATTAGGTCTAATTATATCAGTGGATGATTTCTGGCCAGTCATTGAAGAAGTGACTTACAAGCAATCATTAGCAGCTGCATGGATTTAAATACTTGAAAGAAAAACAAGTGGCACATGCAGGGACGGAAAAGTTATGAGACTGGAATTTGTGATCCAATTATCTTATTCTAGTGAATAAAAATGCTGTGCTGTGGTTTCCTATGATTTTCTGTCTCTAACCACCGAGGACTTTACTTCATGCCTTCAATCTTTTCTGTTCTCTCTTTTCTCTGTAAATTAATTTATGGTCTAATTACAGGACAAGCCTCCACATATGAAGGAACACAAATCACTGGTGCTTACCAGATGGCAGAAAAACGGCACAGAATAATTGAAAATCTAGAAGTGGATCAATATTTAGAAGCCCAAGGTTACATGAAGTATGACACTGCTATTAACATGGAAATATGATGTATTACATTTAAAGGCACATCCAACAGCTTCTGTTATTTGATGGTGAACAAGTGATAACTAAAATGCTTCTAGTGCTGCCAAGACCCCGACTCTAGCTTTATACTATCAGAGGCTAATGACACTACTCATAACCATACACCCCTAGCTTATTAAAAATGTACTGCTGCAGCCTGATGTGCATACCTCCAGCCATATGCTCACACTTCACGCATGCATACTGTTGGCCAGCGGTGTGTGGCTCAGATCTGAAGGTCTCCTTTCCAACAGAATGTACCATGAAGGCTATGAGCCCTATTGTGTCACAGACTACCTCTGGCCTACCCTGCCCTTCTTTCGCATTTACCTCTGGCCTGTTAAAAATGATATCAGCTCATGGAGGGCAAGCATTAACATTTGCATTTTATTGGAAGCACAGAGATTTAGAGCAGAGGATATATCAGGTCTGAGCAGACAGAATTAGTTAACAATGCATTACCTGCCTTTTATGGTAGCTATAACCCTTTCCCCTGGTGGGGCGAAGAGATGAAGGGAGGGATGGGGGGGGGTGAAGGGAGGAATGGGGGAGGTAAAGGGGAAACACAGCCAGCAGGGTTGGTGGAGAGAGCCTTGGCGCAGTAGAGGGAAGCATTTAGAAGGAAGAAGCTTTGTCTATGCTGCTTTACTGCACGATGAGTGTGATAGCGACCCAAATTAGAGCATCACATCGCAATCACCTTCACACAGATCAGTGCACCGAGCTGAGGGATGACGCGCCAGTCGTCACTGCAGACCTTTTTTATCTGGTTGCAACAAGGAAATGGAGACAGCTGTTGGGCAGCTGTGCCTACATGATCATAGCATGAGGAAGGCCACATTAAATTCATTGGCTTCTGTGATACTCCTGACTTACAACAGGCAGTCGAAAATTCTTCACAGTTTCTCTGCGACAGTAACTGAAGGCAATAAATCTTTTTTTGTTCATACTGTATATAAGGTAGCAGTGCATTGTGCTCTGCGTTATCTCCATGAGTGCACATTTATTTGTTTGTCGTTTTGGTTGTATCCTCGAACAAGCTGTGTAACACTGATGAGGCCCACTGCAGCTGTGTCTTCTCTCACCTCAGCTGAGCAGTGGCTCCCCCGACACTCATTTGGTGTAATGTACTGCAAGACGACCCACCTCTGCCATGGGCGATACCCTGTGGAACTCATTTGCACTAGAATTTGCTACTACAGGACAGGAGAGAGTCTGTCTGAAACGCTGGGAGGCTTTGAATGAATGCATGAGTGACTGACTGAATGAATGAATGAATAACCAAAACTGTAGCTATAGTTTAACATATGATCTTCATTTAAGACAAAAAACATACTTTGCAAGATTGTTTAAAAAAAATCAGTGTTGTTTCCTAATAAAACTGTGCAAGTTACAGAAAAACAGCATCTTCTAAATGCCAAACAATACTTAATGTCAAAAACCTGCAAAAAGCTGAGCCTTAGCTAACAAGGCTCTGTGTTGTCTCTGTCCCATGCAGTACACACTCATTTTAAGCAAAATGCTTAAAACAAATTTTCCTTATTTAGATGCTTAGCTTTGATGAAGTTTCACTCAGTATACCCTTTGACCATGTAAAACAACCGCTTCTACATCTGTATTTGCTGCAAACATCACAGCCAGAGCCCTCATGAGCACTGCTGTAGCTTTCCCAACCAAACCTACTGGTCTGGGTTTGTCAGCAAAAAGCTCCAGGCTCCATAAAACAGCCTGCTGCTCACTCCCTTTGCCCAACTTAATGGTCCCAGAGGCTGGAAATTTACTAGTGACCTTTGCATTCCATTTGGAGTGTAAAAGCCTTTTTGCTAGGAAAATTCCATCACTTTAGATGCAGCTGAGCAGCACTTTGCATGTGTGTGAACGAGTTACTATAAAATGCAGCAAGATAGAAAAAAAGAGGGTGGTGAGTAAAGAATGAGGATTAGACTTAACCTTCACTACAGTTTATCGCTGATATTACCATGGTTCCTCATATCAGATCTATTTTTCTTAACCTAAATCTATGCTCTATATTATATTACAACTTTTTTTTCTGTTTTGTATTGACCGGATTGTGATGAAAAGGGGCTCATGATTACACTTTCAAGTTTTTCTCCCCTCATGTACTGTATATGCACGCATACCTCTATGTAATTCTGGCATTAAGTATCCATAAAAATAATTTTATAAAAACGTATTGTGAACTAATTTCTGTCTGTCAGACTGCTGCATATCACCAAACAAGCACAGCATGCAAGTGGGTCCAGCATGCAAGTGGGTCCAGCACACATAAGTGACTCAGAAAAACAACTGAAGACAAGGCAGTGAACTTGACATGAATCCATAACCCTTTAAAAGATGTATAATATCCAAGGTTAATAATCAATACTGGCCAGAAAGACTAACTTACTGGTTGTGGTGAGCTGTTTGAACTGTGAATTACTTGGTTTGGCTTCTGCATCAGTATCGTTCAGTGTCTCCATCTGCTGTGTGAGAGAAGCTAGTGCTCCTGAAACAAAGAAAACAGAAGGAAAATGGTCTCATTTCAACAGAAGCCACATTCAGTAGCTTCAGTCTCATGACAATATATTCTCCAGAGAGGCAGTCCTGACACTATTAAAGGTGAGATTGTCTAGTTTATTACTTATTTCATCTAAAATCATTCTCAACTGAAGAAGTCCACATTTTAACTTTCCTGCTTAATTGTATTCCCTGCAAAATTACCAGTCACAACCTAAAAAAAATTAGGCTGATAAACTTTAACATTGAAAATGTTTATTAAAGGATGCTACAGTACATATATCTGTAACATTCATGTCACACGAAGTCTTTTTTTTAAATTCTGCATCAGTAAATACTGAGGACAGAAATGCAGGGGCATGAAAGAATGTTTTTAATGAAAGGAAATTACACCAAAAATCAGAACATGATAAAAGGGACATGTTTAAACTATGTATGAAACAAAAGGTCAGTATTAACTCACAATGTTTAAAAAAAAAAAAAAAGGAAAATCTGTAAACACTAAAACATTTGGTCCTAAGAGTCCATTTTGGAGTAGAGCAGAAATAAAGCATCCATGTTGTGTTAAAGAATCGACCTCAACTGGCAACATTTCCCCCAGAGAAATTTCTTAAATTTTACAGCCAATAACAATCCGATCACTCGTCACAATAAAACCCCAAATATGTATAATCAGATCAGAAGCCAGCTTTAATGTTTCAAATAAACATTACAATGATCAAGAAAACACCACTAAAAGCTACAGGATCGTGATTTTACCTTTTAGCCGCTAGGGGGCAGAAGCGGGTGACTGAAGTGAATGCTGGTTTCATTTCATGTGGATACAGTGAAGATTGTCTAACCTGTGGAACAAAGACTAGTCCAAATGTAATACTGCATTTAGGAAGGAAAAAAAAAAAAAAAGAAAAAGGGTACAAAACTCTGATTTTGTTTTCTTGAACAGCTAGCATTAAGAAATTAAAAACCGTGTATGTTAAAGAAAATGACAAATAAAAAAAGA